TTTTTTTTTTTGCTCATTTTCAATAGATCATTATAGTATATCAGGTTGTCTCAATATCTGTTGATAGGTAACAAAACTATAAAAATAGAGCCATATTTTCTCTATGGGCAAGAAAATAACAGTTTAGGGGCAAAAAAAAAACCCCTGATCTGCCCAAAAAAGAGGTCCAGATTCAAGATTCAAACCCTGCAGGCCGGGCATGGTGGTGCACTCCTGCAATCCCAGCACCAGCACTCGCGAGGCTGAGGCAGGAGGAACCTTGCGAGTTCGAGACCAGCCTGGGCTACAAAGTGAGCTCAAGGCTAGCCTGAACTGCACGGCAAGACCCTGTGTCAAAAAAAAAAAAAAAAGATTTAAGCCCTGGGCTTCAGACCTTCTAAAACAAGCCACAAATGAAAATATTCATGTAATTTTGAATGACCTCTGGCAACTTGCATTATTTATTAGCAACTTCTTGAGTGCCTGTGTTTGGCAAAGTACCCTGGTAAAATGCACAACATTAATGCCATCCTGGGATACACTGTCTAGCAGGGAGACCAACATTAAATCTCATCACAAAGCCCACTAACTAACGCCAGTCACAGGGCATTTACCTGCTTGAGAGGTTGTGATGATGCTTAGGAAGGATGTTTTTAGACTTGGATATGAAGGATGAGAAAATGCTAAGCAGACAGACAGAATGAGTCCAGTGTAGTGGGAAGGGTGTTTAGTGAGGAGTCTCTGCTGTCAGGAAGTTATCAAGCAAGTCCACAAGACCGAGAAGGTCCCAAGAATTGAGCCAGCAGGTTGGGCTTTGAGAAGAGTAGGCCTGGGAAACCGCACTGCAGAAACGCTTGGGCCAGCTAAGGCGGGGAGCAAGGGTCCTTGCCCTTCGTAGCCCCTCCACGTGGAGACGGTGCTACCCGAAGGCCTGTGTAGGTTCTGCGTGTTTGCAGCAGGACACCGATTTAATGTGCTTTTAAAAAGTGAGTCCCAACTTACTTGTCCATAGAATCTTCCTTTGTAATGTTTGCTATATTCAAAGGAGAAACTTTCCTAAAATACTAGGTGAGGTGACCCTGAACAGTCTATCCTAGCTCCTTGATTTTTTTGGTCCCTAAATAACTCTGCCCTCACCACAGTATTCAACAGGGTTTACTGAGAGGTTGAAAGTACCCAAGATGTGAAGCGGGACTGCACAGAAAGGGGCAGTGAAGTCCTGTTCTTATGCTTCTGTTGACTTCAACTCACAAGTGCTCTGCAAGATGTGAAATGAGAAAGAAATAAAAGTTAACTCGAGTTTATCAGTGATTCTCTTGACTGTAGTTTCCCCAGTATGCTCATGTTGCAAACTAAATGGCAGTGATTACAACATGATTTTGTTTGAAAATCACTTGAGAATTATCCTTGTATACTATTTCAGAGAGAGAGAGAGATGCTCTTTAACCTTAAAAACTTGACCATTTGAATGGTTAATGTGAGAAGAATGTAAGGCCGATCCACCATCAAGGAGATAAAATCTGACACAAAGGATGGGCTCAGGTTAGAAAGTTCAGGTACCATGCGTATGCTTGTGCATACCCCAAATGGCCCCGTGGGGTGGACACAGGTAAAGTTGAGATAGAAAGATCATTGGGAAAAGGCTTTGTAGAGAATCTGAATTTGAGGGGCCGGGCCTGGTGGCGCATGCCTGTAATCTCAGCACTCGGGAGGCTGGGGCAGGAGGACTGCCACAAGTTTAAGGCCAACCTGGCTGCATAGTGAGGTCAAGGCCACCCTGAATTATGGAGCGAGACCTTATCTCATAAAACCAAAAGAACAAAAAAACCCCAAAAGATTCTGATTTTGAGTTGCACTTTTAAAATAGTGATGAGGCCAGACTCAAACTGGATCCGATTGCAGATCATTTTGAAAACAGGCCTATAGAAGCTTAACACATACGCAGAATAGCAAGAAGCCACCAACAGCTTTGAGTAGGAAAGCCTTGGATTTGGTAAGGTAGAGTGAGTACATGAGATGAGTCATCAAGGAGAACTAGAACCCAGACTTTAAAGCCTCATCTTTGTTCACAAACCTGCCTGATTGCCTGGATGTCCCTGTTCCCGGACCTCCTTAAGAACTGTATTTCACTTTCCTGCGTCCAGGGCCTACCTGTCAGGCGCTCAAAGGGTGGCAGAGCAAGTGGAGTGTGGGCAGGCCAGCGAAGCACGGAGGACGCTCTGACCGCTGGGGTGGACTCGGAGTCTCCCACCCCTCAGCTGTAATCTCTGAATGAGACTTAACCTCCGACTAACACAGCCCCGACCTGAGGAAAGCCTTGTACATTTCACTTATAGGGTGACGATTCAGAGGTGTAACTTTTGGCTCCTGTTTGGTGTCCTAAGACCTGAAGTATTTGAAAAGGAGAACTCTGCCCGCTGAGAACACCCATCTGTTCTAATGAAGAGGTGGCTCATAATAAAGCAATAAATATCAAAATCACAAGCTTTATAATACGTTTTACCCTACCTTTTGATTTTTAAAACATCTCTTCACTAAGAGATCTTCCAATCCATTTCTTTGATTAAAATTTTTTTAATTATAAGCTGTTTGTGACAAATTCTTCCAATTATAAAGAGAAAATCTGACTTTTAAAAATTGTGTTTTTATATCTCCTAGTACTGAAGCTAAAAGATAGAATACCATTGAAGGCTGATTTTTCTTTCTTGCCTTTGGCCACACAAAGTAGGTTCTGAGCTTTCATGTTCTGTAATGAAAAAGTTCAGAAGACCTACTCGAATAGGTCTACTTGAGTCCTGTACTTACAAGTTCGAGAAGTTAATATTCCCTTAGAGTTGTTTTTGTCCCAGTGATCAAAAATTGAGTGCTGTGCTCGAGTTAACGCTAGATCTCTCTTCTGTCTTCTCAATATGTGTTTATTATTTTCTATAGCTAGCATAATTAAGTATTTAATGGACTGAAATCACAAAGAAAGGGTCAGTATGAACTTCCCATCCCAGGGTGAGTCATGATTCATTAGATCAGTAATCAGAATAAAGATGTATTAATTTATCAAATTTTATGCTGAAGAAAAATTATGTAACAGTAGAGAAACCAAATTGTCAAAATATCAGAAAAATGATAGAAAGGAAATGGAAATCGTAGAGTTAGGCATTTGGTGTTATGGCTTTAGGTTGAGACATAAGCCACATCTTTACCTAATACATCAATGGAAGTTATTAGTTGAATTAACACTCAGTAGACGGGATTACTTTCACTGCATAGGGAACTGCATGCTATATTCTGAAAAATGTATATAAATGCAAGAGGTTAATACATAGGAGCTTAGATGGGACTAGTGTTTTAAGTGGCACAGAAGGCCCTAGGTAAAAAGGGATATGAACAAGAAAGACACTAGGGTGGTAAGGATGAGACGTGCGACTTGGGGAATATCTTCAAGAAGAGCCTTCGGTATTGAAAGAGGCATACTGACAGGCTGTGAGGTAAAGGGAAATCATTTTTCCTGCAGGGGAAACATCTCGTCTAATTATAGGGAAATTTATTTCAACTTTATCACAGTCAGAACTGTACAGTATGAAACTTTATCACAGTCAGAACTGTACTAGCCAATGAATTCCTTCACTTAGAGGGGAGATGCTAATAACTCCGGGGGCATAATAGAAGTGACATTCAGACATGATGCAGGAAGCTGGCTGGGCTTCTGAAGTGACTTCTTGAGCTCAGCATATTTAGACAATCATTTAGAGTGACTCCCAACTCAAAGGTGTGAATTAAAAAAATGCTGATAGTGAACTCAGTCATTGATCTGCATGTAGGAAAGAAGGTGAGCAGAGACAGGAAGTAAACAGCAGTAAGATTCCACTTACCGAAGGACCAACAAGGTTGGGAAGTAAAAGAGCATGTTGTGAGGGAGAGGAAGCGGGCACCGAGCATGGAGCTAGGAAATGCTCTCCGGCAGGTGATGGGAGGAAGCAGAAGGAAATTTCAGTGATCCTAGTCATTTTATATAGTTACTCGTTTGAAGTCGTAACATGGACTAACACTTTCTTCTTTTTTTTTTTCCTTCCCAAATGTGATAGGAAAGCAAAGATATCCTGTTAGTGGATCTAAACTCTGAAATCGACACCAATCAAAATTCTTTAAGAGAAAATCCGTTCTTAACAAATGGCATCACCTCCTGCTCTCTTCCTCGACCAAAACCTCAGGCATCCTTCTTGCCTGAAAATGCCTTTTCTGCCAATCTCAACTTCTTTCCCACACCTAATCCTGATCCTTTCCGTGATGATCCTTTTGCACAGCCAGACCAATCGACACCCTCTTCGTTTGATTCTCTCAAACCACCAGATCAGAAGAAAGAGAATTTGTGTAGTTTGTCTACTCCACTGAGTAATGGGTCCCAAAACGGTGACGCTGATTACTTTGGTCAACAATTTGACCAGATCTCTAACCGGACTGGCAAACAGGAAGCTCAGGCAGGCCCGTGGCCCTTTTCAAGTACGCAAAGCCAGCCAGCAGTGAGAACTCAAAATGGGGTATCTGAAAGAGAACAGAACGGCTTCCATATCAAATCTTCCCCAAACCCTTTCGTGGGAAACCCTCCCACAGGACTCTGTGTACCGAATGGCATAAAGCAGGACTTGGAAAGCCCTGTCCAGTCCTCACCACATGACTCCATAGCTATTATCCCACCTCCACAAAGTACCAAACCGGGAAGAGGCAGAAGGACTGCTAAGGTGAACTGTTTTCTCCACATCTCCATTAGCAGAGTGCATGCTCGGTACCAAAGGGTGGTGTGACGCGAGCTCTCTTTCCCCTGCTCTTGTAGTTTCCTGTGTGGCTGTAAATAGAAAGTGGGATAAGGCACCTCTGTTCTCCAGGAATCCCTTCCTAGAATGGCCATTCTTTCTGAGTTTCTCAGCAGTGTTTGTCACACCTGCTTTCCGTTTGCATGTCTTGTCCTTTAATACTGAACTAAACACAAGTTTTTCCATTTTTAATGCTGCTATGCTTCTCTACCTCTGGTAAGTTTGATCGTTGTGTTTTGGGATGGGAGGGCAAGTATCGCTGCGATTCCCTTTGTCCCTGCCCCACACTAACACACGCAGTGCACACCCATCCTTGCGGTAATGTCCACGGGGGTGGTGGTATAAAATTCTCAAGCTAATCTCCTCCTTTAAATGTTGACTTAATAACCCATTTTCTTAAAAGAAACTTATCAGCTTCATTCAAATGCAGTTTCTATATGTATCTTTTTAAAACTCTCATAACCATATGAAATTTTACCTCATCATTAACTGTATCTTTTCCATGTAGACTTATTAAGCTCCAGTGGGATAATCAGAATTACTTAGGGTACTTATTTGTAGTCACCTTTGCTTTCCCACCTTCAAGCCTTGAGTCAATCAGAAGACCACACTGATACAAATGAATTAATGAAATGAGGTTTCATTTTTCCAGTACTAGGTTGTGTTAGTCGCTGAGCCCCAACAGTCCAGCCATTATAGTAATCTTTATATTTTATTTCTTCCCTTTTGGTCTTTTATGTATTTTTAATTTATTTACTTTTTGGGGAAAACTGTAGTTGTGTAGCAGTAATTAGAAATTTTTTTCTTCCTTTTTGTGGATCTCAAGTTTGGGGTAGAGAGTAGGGAGCAGGTGAGGGCTGTATTTCACTGTTCTGAGTAACTCTTCTCCTCCCTCCCTGCCCCGTCAGTCTTCGGCAAATGACTTGCTTGCATCAGACATCTTTGCTCCTCCCGTCTCAGAACCTCCAGGCCAGACATCACCCACAGGACAATCTGCAGCCCCACAGACCAACCCCTTGGATCTCTTCAAAACAAGTGTTCCTACCCCAGGGGCACCTCTTGCGAGTCTAGGTAGGTGCCTAAAGATGTGGTGGGATACACCTCTACTACATCCATCATACACCCGCGATCCACAGGGGAAGGCATTTCCTATCTGTAGTGGGTCCTAGGTGGAAGACTGAAAGTCCAAGGCAGCTCTTCTCTCATTTTTGCTCTTGCACAACCCACCACCACTTGATATTCTCAGCCTGTAACTGAAATTTGGCTCCTCCAGTTGGCATGTGATGTGAAATCTATTTTCAGCATCACATGTACCTGAACTGGCTGGTCCTGTCTTGGGAGATGGCTGTAAGGGAAAGTGACATTCAGGGTGGCTTCCACGGTGAAAGGAGATGAGATGAAAGAGTCTTGTCTGTTGTCTGTGTTGGAAAGGTAGTAACATGCGTACCTTCCGTGTTATTTGCCATAATGGATTGGAGGCCTGGCGCCTCTCAAGTTATATGCCTTTTTGAAGCAGTATGTGCCTCAAGATGGGTCTAAGTGAAGTCTGAAGCAAGTCTAAGACATAGGGTGAAAGCCTTAGGTTCTGGGCCCAGCCGTGTCCCTTGGCATAGATAAGTGTGGGACAGCCATACATCCCAGTCAGTTTTAAGCACTTCCTCTTTAGCAGTTCCTTGCCAGTTTTCGCTAACAGAGTGTCTCCATAGAGTTGAAAGGGCGGGGGATATAGCTCAGTGGCACAAGCACGCCTGCCTGACAAGTGCAAGGTCCTGAGTTCAGTTCTGGTACCAAAAAAAAAAGTTATGAGAGGAGGTGCTCTCATGTATAACAGTGCCCTTAGCTACGTCAGACACAGAGCCCCTCTGCTACAGGGTGACGGGAAAGGCCATCGGACTGAGGACCCGTCCTCATGTTTTTTATCCATAGCCTCGAGCTCTTTTTGATTTCATGGTACAGTTTAAAAATCGCAACAGTACTTCTTGCTGCCCTGCTAGGGTAGGGACTGTCTTTGTTTTTCTGCTTCTTGGCACCTCTACAAATTTGAAAGAGACTCTGGCTTGGGAGGTGGGATACAATAGATAAAGAACTCTCCTCCCTGTTTGGTAAAATTTGACAAGAGTTCATGGTTTTCTTTGCCTCCTGCAGTCAGTCACCAGGATGCTGTTGCTGCTGCCCCTTCTTCTTCCTCCTCCTCCCTTTCTTCTTTTCTCTTCCTTCTCCTTTACATTCTCCTTCTCCTTCTCCTTCTCCTCCTCCTCCTTCTACTCCTTCTTCCCTCTGCTATTCTCCTGCAAAGGAGAATATTTTGGTTCTGCCACAATAGATCTGCTTAATCATATCAGGGCAGGGATGGGGTAGCACTTAACCACTGAGTGGCTGAAATCCATGTGAGTATGAGAAGCCATTGTGTTCCGGGTCTCTGCCTGGCATTTTCATCAAGAGACTCTCCCTAAACACTTCATGTCTATTGAGTCTTCCCTTTGTGCTGGGTCTCTTGCCTGCCGCCCAGTAGAGCAGGTTAGTGTCTCCTGCACAGAAAGGCAGAAAACTTGCATGTGATGCCTGTGACCAGATCACATCCCAGAGCTTTGTAGTCTAATATCAATGCCCTGAAGGATTTTTACAGCCAATATTTAACAAGTCAGCCTGAAAATACAGCTGGACCCTATAACTGTTAATTTATTCAGACGAAGTAAAGCTTTTTGGCTAGGCGCCCCCGTTGAGGCCTTGGGGTATACAACTGCAGAATACTGATGATTCTTTTAAGTTTGGACATGGAACTCAAACTGAGCTCTACAGTATAGCCCCTGTCCACCAGCAGGGATCCTCAGCCAAGCCATGGAAGGTTGTAGGTCTGGCTTCCGCTAGACCCAGCTGGGGGGCTGTCTCCTCTGGAGACCTGGGGGATGGGAGAGGGTGTTTTAGAAAGCCGAGCCCTCAGCTTTGACTTGCTTGCTATCCATGTTTTGATGTAGCTTTAGAAGGTAATAAAATTAATGCTTTATACCCACGCTGCTTTTTCTTTAGTCCTTGCCACTACTGTCTTCAGCTGGGCTGTGAATGTTTTAGCAGTCGGACATGTGGAATGTGGTAGATGGGAATGAAGGCTGAAATCAGCATATACTTCGGAAAGTCTTTTGTTCCTGGAAATAAAACAATTTTTTCTTTCACAACATCACTCTTACTGATACCGTCTATGACTAAAGCCATGAATGTTCCTAAGGAAAGCCAACTAGCCCAAAGTGAAAGCCAATACAGTTATATATATATATATATATATATATATATATATATATATATATATATATATATATTTCTTTTTTTTGGCACATCTAACATGAAAGTTATTAGTGAGAGAACCTGGCTTCAGCTAACAAAATTTAAATAAGTTTGTTTTAAAACACTAACAATAGCTTTGTTCAAACTAAGCCCATTTCTAGGGCTTATGGATTCTAAGAGAAATTGTCCCCTGGTTTGTTCTGAAGAGATCTAATTTCTATATCTGTGACATTAAGTACCATTTAGAAAAAAAAAAATAGTCCAGTGTCCTGCCATTAAGGAGGCAAAAAGCGGGGACAGAGTGCTGGATTCAAAGCCAATGTGCCAGAATTTGTCTCTGTGGTCATAGACTGTGACCTTCTCAATTTTAATTACATTCTTCATCCAGTTCCCTCAAGCATGGTGATTAAGTAAGATGGCTTTTTTCTAAAACTTGCCTCTCTGAACACAAATGTATTCTCAGCCACATGGCCAGCATTCCTGACAAGAGAGGATTTCAAGGTCTGAGAACGAATATTTAGCTAGAGCAACCCCTAAACGCGATTTGGTAAGTACTGCTCACTCTAGAGGCAAAAATATTCCCAATGCAAGTTTGAAGGCCTCTTCTGAATGGATGAGAAATCAGAGAATACTGCGCCCCAAACCTCAAAGCAGATAGCTTCTGAGAGCACAGTATCAGCATCGCCCATAAAGAAGTATGAAGCTGAATTTGGGGCTTTTGTTAGCGGTTACACTTTAGCTGACCCATGAATACACTGGGGAAGAGGAAGGCGAGAAGATGCCCTGTCTGTTAGAAAAAGATGTTGGGAATGAGCCTCTCAAGGGAGGAGGAGGACTGGAGACACCTGGAGTTTCTTGATTGAACTGATTCTTAATGAACACGGCAAGAACGCAGGCAACGAGCCACTCACTCCACCCAGATCACTTGCCCAGCACAGTTTTGGATTTCCTTTATCTTCTCCCTTTCTCATTTAAATACTCTGTTCTAATTTCTGGGAAAGTCTAGTGAGTGACACATGGCAGGAAGCACTTTTATTTGAAACAGCCCTCCCTGGATAACAGCCTTTCCTCCATTTTTAAATATAAAAACCTAAAACTATCTTGGCATCAGCCAAATTTTATCCATATAGCTGTGTCAGTTTGGGCAGTGTTAAGAAGCACTGAAACTCTGAAATGGTTTCTTCAGCGTGGAGGCATGCTGGGACCTTAGGCACATGCGTGATAGCTGGTTTCCGTAAGTCTCCAAGCACAAGCCAGCTGCTAAAGGAAAAGTCAGTGACTCACAGCGTCCAGTGGATTATTTTCATCACTTCATCAGCAGCATACTTTATATATAGATGTGTTCACGTGACAAATCAGTTCTGCTATTGTTGGGGTCTGGTCTAGTTGTTTGACGGTTTCTGGCTTTTTGGGACAGGGTCTCACTATGTACTTCAGGCTGGCCTTGAACTCACTGTGTAGCCCAGGCTGGTCTCAACTCACAGTGATCCTCTGCCTCAGTCTCGTAAGTGCTGAGATTACAGGCATGTGGCACCACACCCTTGGTTCAGTTGTTTGAGATACATCCATTTTATTGTTTTTTGTTACTGTTTTATGTCTGATAAAGACTCGGTTTTTCATGCTTAGCCATGTATAGGTTATATTACCGTTCTAGTGTGGCAAGTCAAAAAGGTGATACAAAGAACATGGCCCTCCAAATGCAACCAGCATTTGAATACTAGCCACGGTGTATTAGCCAGTTTCTTTGGGAGTGGTTGAACCCCTTAGAGCTTTTATTTCCTTGTCGTCCTCCGGGCATAATGAAAGCTATACAGATACTCCGTAACTGCTCCCAGAGACGCATGCTTTCCGGAATTCCAGGGCCCACTTCAAGCTTGTGTGCTGATACGTCCCCTCTCTCTCTCCCTCCAGGTGGTGTACCGGTGTCGCCCCCGCAAGCGGGACCGTGGAGCCCACCCATTGTCTTTAACCAGTCCACGCCCATGGTCCCGGGAGCCGTGATGGGCGGCCAACCTGCCGCGTTCAGCCAGCCAGTTGTTTTTGGCACCAGCCCAGCCGTTCAGTGTTGGAGCCAGCCTTCATCCTTTGTGACCTCATCTTCTCCCTCAGCCCCTGCAGTCTGGGGTTCTTCTGCGTCTGTGGCACCCAGCTGTTGGCCAGCAGCGAGCTCACTGGGGAACCCTTTCCAGAGCAATGTCTTTCCCCCACCACCTGCTCTGTCCTCTTCCATGCTGCCCTCACTCGTGGTCAGTCCTCCTCAGCCACCTCCCAGAACTGCTCCGAAGGACATCCCCAGCGATGCCTTCACGGCCTTAGACCCGCTCGGGGATACGGAAGTCAAGGAAGTGAAAGAAATGTTTAAGGACTTCCAGTTGCGGCAGCCGCCTGCCGTGCCCTCGAGGAAGGGAGAGCAGCCTTCTTCTGGAACTTCCAGCGCCTTCTCCAGTTACTTCAACAGCAAGGTTGGCATTCCCCAGGAGAATGTGGACCATGATGATTTTGATGCTAATCAACTGTTGAACAAGATCAACAAGATCAGCGGTGAGTTACTCACTTGTCTGCCTACTGTGCCGCCTGTTTCTGAGGTCATACGGGCCCAGGAGGTCCCTCAGAAGACCCCTCTCTCACCCACCAATTGTCTTACTCTTGCTTGCTTTGGCATTCAGGGGTTATGGAGACAACATAACCATTTACCTTTGGGAGCCAACTGTTTAATCGTAGCCAATTTTAAAGATTGGCCCAATGCTGCCCTCTAGTGATAATTATTAGAAGGCCTGCCAAGAACTATTGAACGTGGCCTGGAGAACTGTATGATAAAGCTTCACCCGTTTCCCCGTGGCCTTAAGGGAGCTCTGAATGTCTTCCACTTCGGACAAATACATGTGGCTTTTGCTTCTGAAATGGGGTAGACTTGCTTATGGTCATCACTGAGCATCCTAGTATTTGGCAGTGATTTTTCTTCCACTGGTGTAAATTTTAAAAGTATACAGTCAAGTTTGAAAGATAAACTGAATGGGGGATGTGTGTCACAATTGAGGACATCTTGTTTCCTAACTGCTTGGGATTTTTCCTTCTAGAACCACCAAAGCCAGCTCCCAGACAAGGTGCCCTGTCAGTTACCAAATCGACCAGCAAAGCCTTTGAGAACCCTTTCTCTAAAGATTCCTTCGGCTCACCGCAACCCTCTGTAAGTATCAACTGTTAGAAGCCGGTGCTCCGAAGTGCGTGCCACGCCGTGCCACAGCTTGCCTAATGAGCCTTCCGTGAGCCTTCGCAGAATAAACATTCACCCACACTGGACTAAGATTATTTTAACAGGAATTACTTTCTCCTGGGTTTGAGAAATCATAGCTAGGAAGCACCATTCATCTCTCATTTCACCTGGCTTGTGAAAGCATTTTGAGAGGAAAGTGAGCCAAAATACTATCTTAAAAATCATGTAAAGATTTAAGTTTTTAACTTCCTACCTGTGTTTCTATAGCTTATAAGAATATTTCCCACATCGAGGAAGCAAAGGTAATTCACCTGAGCCTTGATTTTTAGTAAATAGTATGCGTCTCCATCTGTAAACCAGTAGGCACAAATCATTATAAGCGCACTGATGCATTTAGGACCCAAATGACTTTTAAAGGCATTTGAGAAGTCCTAAGTGTATGTTTTTGTTATGACTATAGTTATATTTGTTGCCTGAATTATATTTCCTTAGATGGCTTCTCCACCACCTGCATCTTCTGACGTGTATAGGGACGCTTTTGGAAATCCTTTTGCCTAACTCTGTAAGTAGGAGATCCTACTAAGCTTATCTGTCGGGGGAAAGATTTGGGTAGAGAGTGAGATTTTTATTTTCAGAATTGGGAAGAAGTTAAATTCTGTAATTTGGCAGTAATAGGTATAGAAATCTATACTGAGCTAATTCAGTGATGATTGGACATTTACAAAGAGAATTATTAAATACATCAAGATATGATGTGGCCATGGGATAAGCTTATGTTTTGATATTTCAGTTCTGAATGGAAGCAGAACTCAATATAACATATATATTTTGAGATTTCTAGCTTTTTAACCTGCATATTGAAGTGATTGCAAGTTGTTCCCAAGGTAACTTGGTTTCCCGTAAAAGGTTCCACTTCTGAGGACCTTCTGAAGCCACCAAAAAAGTCAACTAAATAGACAATGATCATGACTCTGCTGCCGTTTGTTTCTTTGTAAGCCCTCTCAGTTAATCTGTGACATTAACTCTAAATTGTTTGCAGCTGTTACTGTCTCCTTCAAAAGTAGTAAAAGATCAAAATCAGTCAGAAGGCTGGTTCTTCTCAGTGAACTTCTTCCTAGATAAGCTCATGGGTACACCGCCTGCAACTCGGCCGCTGCCAGGGCTTGATGCTATTCTTTTTCAACAGTACCAACTGTGTTCCACATTTAAAAGATTGAAGTTAAGAGGGAAAGGGAGGTGTATTTCCATTTCGGAAAAGGTGGGGACAGCTGGTAAGGGTAGAACAATAATAAGAACAAAAAGAATCCAAGCCCATTTTTCTTCAGTATTGCCTCATCGAAGCATGGCCACTGACTGCCTTGACCTATCTGTAATTCAAAGTATTTTAAATATATAAGTATCTCAAGTATGACATCAACAGTAAGATTAAGTTTGTAGCAGCCTGTTGTCCTTCCCCCTTATTCACAGAGGGTAAAGTTCTAAGACTCCCAGTGGATCCCTGAACCGAGGATAGTGCTGAACCCTCTGTACACGGCTTTCCCCACACATGCATACATGCAATAAAGTTTAATTGGTAAATTAGATACAGTAAGACATTAACAACAATAATTAATAAAAATAACCCCTAATGTTAATAGATTGGATGGAGATAACTTGTGGAAGAAAGCAGCTACTACTAATGAGCACTTGTGTTAATCACTTCATTACTTGGTCTGCATTTATTATCTTATTCCTCACATCAGCCTTGGAAGATTCTATTATTGACATTTTTAATAATAAGTAAGATAGTTATTTGGGTTTTTTTTTTTTTCTTTGTTTGTCTTTATGAGACAGGGTCTTGCTATGTAGTTCAGGCTGGCCTTGAGCTCATTACGTAGCCCAGGCTGGTCTCACATTCACAGTGATCCTTCTGCCTCAGCCTCCCGAGAACTGGGATTACAGGCATGTGCTACCACGCCCAGTTTAGATATTTAATACATTGATATTTAATTCAAAAAATCTAATAAAAAATTTTTGTCTTTTCCGTATTTCTGTAGGAACTTGGAATGCTGACTGTCCAGAGGAACAAAAAGGTTGGCTTTCGTAGTCAAGGACAAAGCTAATAGTCAGACACGTCCTGACCACTGTCCTTGTTCCAGCTTTAACAAGTTATCTGTTGCCTTATTTCTTATTGCCTCTCCCACTTGTAAAATTCCTTTCACTTTCTAAGCTAAAGCTAAGCTGAATCTATGGCTTTAAGTAAATTGAGATCCTAAACTCTTTAGTTCCAATGTAAGTGAAGTAGCTTTCCCGCCAAACTCTTATCTGTCATATTCCTGTACCCCCCCAAACACTATACCTTCTGCCTTCTGGTTGGGCCATGCAGACACCGCCACTTGTTAACCATTTTGAGTAAATGACCAATTCATTCTGCTTAATTTGAGGACTCTGTTTTAGAGCATAAAATCTAAAACACATCTTCTTAAAAGAACGTCCTTCCAACAATCACTTACAGAAAATTTTTTGAATAAAATGGAAGTCCAACATCTCCTCAGACACTTTGAAATCTAATATACCTGAGGATCTTTTTAAAGGTAGTTTCTCCTCTTTCTAAAGATCAACTTCTCTCACAGCCAAGATTGTCCTTTTGCTAACTCTCTAGCTGTTACAAATGAGGGAAAAACATTATTCACCTCTTTGCCTTTTCCTTTTGATTCTCTTTTTAGTCTGTGTTATTCCTGGGTTCAGAGACCCCCCCCTTCCAGATTTGTTTGTTTGTTTGTTTGCTTTTTGTTGTTCTTGATTTTACAAACAATAGGGGCTGGGGATTTAGCTCAGCGGCACAGTGCCTGCCTGGCAAGGGCAAGGTCGTGAGTTCGATTCCCGGTACCAGAAGAAAACCAAAAAAAAAAAAGATTTTACAAACAATAGATTTTCATGGGGTTAAAAAAATATTAAATGATTCACAGACCTGGAATCAAATGATTCACAGACCTGGAGCCTGTCTTTCTCCTGAGTAAATGCTAATCCCCATAACTACCTGTGTATGCCCTATAACCTTCCGTGGACCAGGGGACCATCCTCAAGCTAAAGTTCAGAAGAGTAGTGAATGTGAAGAAAATCTGAACTCCATTCAACAATAAAGGGCCACGTTCTACAGAGCAGCACATCAGAAAGCTAAATGTGACTTTGCTCGACACACTGGTGCTTATCCTTGGGGGATGTCATGCTGGGCCTTTATCGAGTAACTGGAAAACTTTCTTGAAGCCATGGTTTCATACTTAGTAGGAAGATAAATGGGAGGGGAAAAGGTGGCGAACAAGTATTTGGGGTTATCATCAAAAATCTCATGCCTGCAATATTTTTCTCCCATAACCTTGGAAACTTTCCCAGTTCATTGTCAGTCCTATTGTTAGCACGGTTCTGAGGGATTTGTTCTTGCTAAAATGATTTTGTTTCAAATGTTATCTCTTGACCCTTAATGCTCAGGTTCTTGTGGGTGTTAATCAACCACATCCAATGTTATCTTTCCGGGGGAGAAAGAGGATGACTGCTCAGGATTTAAACAAGCTGGCCTTGGGAGCCTCTATAGATTAGCTTCAAGTAGTCCAAGCTGAAGTCCTGTGGTTTTGCGTTTAATGATAATAGTTGATTATATATGGCATAATTTTTCTGTCTGGCGTCCTACTCAGTCATAACCAGAGACTTGAAATAGTACTTTAAAGGTCTAAAAACCTAAAAGTGCTAAACTGGAGGTATCTATTTCTAGGTAGTTGACTTTTTGAAAGTGATGATCAGCCATGCAACTGTTTTGTATATACTTTCTCTTGCACTTTTCTGTATGCAAATTAAAGCTATAAATTTACTCATTTCAATAAACTGGAATGGCAAAATCTACGGTGTCACCACCAATTTATTCTGATGTTTGACCTTTTCTTTGAGTTGACCGTTAGGGAGCAAAGCGTACCAGTGTACAGTAAGTAAATGTGAGTTACAGTACATTCCAGATTATCAATAAAGAAGAGAAAGTGGGAAGCTATGAAACAGGAGCAGTAAGTTACCGCCCACTCTCCTTCAGTGATGTATTCTCCTCAGAACCAAGCATGCTTTCATTGTTGGTAGTGCGATGGAGCCTAGTGGGTGGACCTGTATCAGAATAACCTAAACTGCTGCCCAGCATAGAACCACTCATCAGTACTATTCTGGTCCATGCTGCCTCCTCTGTGCTTCCTCCCCTTGACCTTTATTCAGTCATGTTTGATCCTGCCAAGACTACATGAGGGGCCCAATCTAGGCTGGTGCCAGCCACTCAGGATAGCTGCAGTGTGAGGTAGGCAGGTCAGTGGCATGTGTTTTTACCATGAGACACTCCCAGAAACTGGCATTCCAGGGTTTCTTCATTTCAAGAAGACCTGGCATGGGTTGGGGGTGGGGCTCAGTGGTAGATAATGTCTCTAGCATGTTCAAGGCTCTGAATTTAATCCCAGCACTGAAAAAACCAAAAAGGGTAAGAACAACAAAAACCCTTGGAACTACAAGGAGGAGAATCCCAAGGCAGGCCTTGCAAGGATATGGAAGTCTTCATGTCACAACTTTCTCTAGGGAGCAATACGCCTACAGAAAAGCCCTCTTTGGTGCATATTATCATGGGATGCCTGATGTTACTGTCTTCTTTTTCCCCTTAACTAGGACAGTTGATCTCTTCTGACAGCAGTGAGGTGCACTCCTAAAACAGACACCACACAAAAGCAGCCACCAGAGACACTGGAAGCAAGCTGCAGATGAGACGGAGAGGCCACTGATAAGAACGTGCTGCACACTGTCTGGCTTAACCAGGTGCTTCGCACTAACTGGTTAAGCCACTGTGCTCTCTCCTCGTGGCTTAATCTTCAGCCCTGCCGAGCTTAAGGCACCATGCCCACTGTACAAAATGACATCCATCTTTGCACAGTGCAGTCAGAGCCACTGCTGGCCAGGCAGAGGCAGGTGCTTACTAAAACCAAATCAGCTCTGCACTTGTTAGTAGAGGTGCTTTTCATACTGCGCTGGGAGCTCACATAGTAGGGGAACTCCTTTATATGTGTGTCTAAGCTAAAACACTTAACTGTAACAGCCAGGATGCTCCCGGATTTCTCACAGAACAATACAGAAGGAGGAGGTATTGATTTTCTGGAAATAGTCTTGCGTTTGTGAAGCACTGGCCCATTCATTTTATTCCATTCAGACCATAGTAACCTCATGTTAGATGGCGTTCACTCTTCAGAGCGACTGTGAAGGGCTCCAACTCCTAAAGGAGAGTTTCTCCTGGGTATTTTACTGTAAAATTGTGCAGTAACATTCTTTTAAACCAGTAATGTCAGACTCCTCCATCAAAATGTTAACTATGGTGTTTGGAGAGAGCTGGGCGGTGACTGTCCTTCCTGTGCTGAAAGCAAGGAGGGGAGGAGCGGAGCATGCAGCAAACTCAGGAGTTTGCTCGACTCCTGAATTACCTGATGAGTGAGGAGCGCTGACCCGCATGCTTGGCATAGTTTCAGCACAAAGTCAGTGGTGGGAGCTGCCCAACAATTCCTGGTAAATATTTAAGGCATCACTGAGGAGATTGCTAAATAATAGAGCACCTAATTCTTGCTGGGAAATGATGTGTTTTTATTTAATTCTAAAAATAACTAAAATTCACGTCGTAAGTTGCCCTGCCAAACATGGACAGGAACGAAATTGTATACCAGCAACAGCGCTGTTAGCATGTCCTCATTCCCGAAATGCTGAGGGTGGAACACAGCCAGCCATCTGTCATCTCACCTAATGAGTGACCCCGCCCCTCCTCTGCCCTTGCTTTACTGGAATTATGCACTTAATTAGTAAACCTCTACTTGCACTGAGATCACCCAAGTGCTCGTCTCCAAGGAGACTGCAGTGTAGGGTGCTCAGTGACCAAAGATTATGATATTAAAAAAGAAAACCCGAACAGAAAGTCTTCATGACTTTTTTTCATGTTGTGCAGTTTTCTTTTTTTAAGGTGTTTTTTTTTTTTCTTCTTCTTCTTTTTTTGGTACCAGAAATTGATCTCAGAACCTTGTATTTGCCAAGCAAGGTGCTGTGCCTTGAGCTATATCCCTGGCCCCATGTTGTGGAGTTTTCTATGAATTCTTTCTTCATTTAGTTGATTTAAATTTTTATTTTATTATATGGAAGGAGGGGGGAAGAAAGGACGGGTGAGAGAGAGAGAGACAGAGAGAGAGAAATGCAGTTCCAAAAGTTAGTAACCCAACTGGCCCAGCGCTGAGTCGCAGACATTATAGACATTTTTGGAATGCACCTCCCCAAACTGCCTACTCATTCAGCGACTAATGGATCACCATAGAGTTTGAGGTCAGCTGAGATGAGGGTATTGCACACGGGCTAACAGAGAAGGAAGGGAATGGAAAGGTTGATGTGACGTTGCCTCCTCTTCCTTCCCTGGCCAGAAAGATTGGTTTAAGACCTTGCTGGTGGGAAGTGATGGGGCCGGAAGCTGAAGGTGCTGTCTTCCTTTGATAGAAGACCCTGGGGCATTCCCGGCCCACGTCTCCATCAGGAATGGGTGGAATACAGAAATGGGAAGGCTCAGAGTAGCTAAACAGAAGGTGTCTTAGATAGATTTACTCTAACACGAATCCCATTGACCTCATGGCTTTAACAGCTATTTCTCTCAATTCTGAAAGCACAGAATCAGAGACCAAGGTCCACACGCATTTGGTGTCTTTTGAACGTTCCCTTGCTGTGCTTCAGGCAAGAGACTAAGAGTCCCATGCTCGTCTTACAAAGACCTTAGTACCCTTATGAGGGCTCCGCTTTTAGGGCCTCATCGAAACCTCTAACCACAAAAGGGCCCATTTTCTGTTACTGCCTCATCAGGATTGCGATGTTTAATTAGGGGAGGGAAACAAGCTTGTAATCCATCACAGGAGGGATTTATTTTTTCACAAAAACATCTAGGTTGGTGGCCGCTAGTGTCTGCCTAGCACATCGAGGGCTGGGACAGACTCTTACATAGCTTTTCCCTCTGACTCCAACTCTGTTCTCACGTTTTTTGTGTAATGGCCACAAGCGGCTCCGTAGCTCTAGAAGGCGCATGTCCAAGGGTCGCAGGAAGGAGAGCGGCCGCTCAGCCCACAGCTGCTTCTTGCTGTGGTTATTTCCGTTTTCCCCAGCAATTCCCAGTAGACTTCAGCTGTGTCGTTTTTGCCAGAAATTTGCACACATGGCCACTCCTAGATGCAAGGGAGGCTGAGAAGTCACACTTTTAGCCTTATCTACATCCATAGTGAAAGGAAAGGCTGAAGCCGTGTAAGCTACATAATTCATGGAGATCAGGGCAAAATAGAAGCACTGCATGTGTCAATATTTCTTGAAGCAGAAAAAAATGCCATTAAAGGCCCTCAAATATAAAAAAATTTTTCAAGATTTTTACTTGCTGCAATTTCTTTCAACTTATTATGGCATATTTTATTTGCTATTTAGTATTTTGCATGTGTGTGTTTGTTTTTTTCTTTGAAGATAGGATCTCACTATATAGTTCACACTGGTTTAAATTCACTATATATCCCAGGCTGGCCTGGTTTGATCTCAGGGTGATCTTTCTACCTCAGGCTCCAGACTGCTGGGTTTACAGCTATGCATGCCCATGCCCTGCTTAAAGCTGTTCTAAGTAAAGTAAAATCTTAAAGTATTAGTGTATGAATTTTTCAATTAATTTTTAACTCATGTGTAACATTGCCAAACCTATACAGTTTGTACTGCACACACTGTGTATGTGTGAATG